TTTAGGCTATATATTTTCACGCCATTAAACTTAGGGGGTAAATATTTTGGATAAAAGCCCTAATGTGGGAAAGAGACCATAAGTTGCTGCCAACATCAAGAAACTAATGTTGTCAGTTATGCATTTGAATTTTGACATTTCACAAATGTAAACAATAAAATAAAGTTTTTACAATTTCACGCGGATGTAGCCGCACGGGAACAGCTAGTTAAAGATAATTGTTGCTACTGACTTCGTCCACGTGAAATTAAAAATATAACCTATGTTACTTAGCGATAACGTAGCTTTTTAATGGTGAAAGAATTTTTGAAATTGTCCCAGTAGTTTTCGAGTTTTTTCAATATATACAGAAATATAAATCTTTCCTCTTTATAATATTAATGTAGGAATAACTAAATTAAAATGGGACGAAGCAATTTAGCCAAAAGGGGCAAAATTTAGTTGAAATTGATTATAGCATCTGGGATTTAAATATAAAAGGCCCTTTGTGTCATTTTTACATCTTAATCTAATATTATAAAGCGGAAAGATTTTTATATGTATTGAAGTAACTCAAAAACTATTGGGACAAATTCAAAAACTCTTTCACCATTAAAAAACTATGTTATCAGTGAGTAACAAAGTCTATATTATTTTCTTATTTTTTTAATTTCAAGCAGACAAAGACGCGAGCAACAACTAGTACTATAGAATGGAACTATGCAAACTTGCAATAATTCTTATAGCGAAATGACAAAAATTTCAAAAATTCATATTACACAAAGATCTGCCTTCACACACATCAACAAACAGACACAAAAACACCAAGTAATGTTAGAAACCAAAAGAAAATCCGCAAAAACATACATAATTAGGACATTGAAGGTAGAAAAAAAAATCTTTAAATAAAAAAATACCTTAAACTCATTTGCATAATATCATCACCAGTGATTGCCCGACACCACTTGCTATAAAATAATATTCAGAAAAAATATAAATAAATAATGACAGACAAGACCAGTGGTTGTCAACATATGGATCAACCCCTAATAAAAAAACATCTCAATATTACTTACTAGTTTACTATGGCAAAAAATAGATTGATAGATTTTTCTTGTCCCCTAATAGGGAATATGCATGTGTTTTTTTTAAACGATTCTACTTGTTATAAAATAACCAGAAAAAAAATGACTCGAAAATATTCAACCATTTCACAACTTAGCGAGGGAATTTAAAACAAAAAATAATCATTAATTTCGCCAACAAATCACATTATATTAAAAAAAAACTTTATAGGTATGTTTTTATAGAACCTCGATAAGTTAAAGTCCGAGAGAAACACAAAATATTTTAAGTTATAGAGGTCTTAAGTTATCAAGGGTCTATGTTATAG